CAGATTAACCACCTTGATTTTCTTTTCACGGAGTCAACAAGAATTTCAATTCGATTGAGAGTTGTTCGACATACTTTTCTTAGAGACAATGCAGTCTAGTTGGATGGGCCATAATTGTTCAATGGTAGTAATTACTTTTAAACTAAAAATAATTACATCCGATTTATTTTGCGCATAAAATTCAGTTATAAATTAGAAAAAAAAAATTATTTTGAAGAAGAAAACATTGAAGTAGAATAAATAACTACCATTGTCATTATTATGTTTAAATAAAACGGCAACAGTTAATTATTGAAACATAATAATGAGATTATATATCAGTGAAAGTTAAAGTTAGATGTAAACCTGAAATTAAAGTTTACATATTGGACATGATGAAAAAAAAAACACATGCTCAATCCTTTCAGATAGATAACTGTACTTTGAGATGAAACCACTAATAAAATCTTGACCTCTAAAATTTTATTTAAATAACAACCGAAATAATTTCTCAAGATAACATATTTTCAGGAGAATTTTTACTAAGTAAAAAAATTTAAATTTAAAAGATAAAAGGATTAAAAATTCTCACACTTTTCAATTATAAGATCAGATGAGAAGGATCCAAACAAAAACTAATCAAGTGAATAAATATCTTCTATTTAAGCAATACATGAACAGAACAAGATAAAAGTAAATTAAAATAATCCATAAATACATGTCAATGTTCTGAATGATATTAAAATGACCACATATCTCGAAAAGAGACATGCAGTGATTATGTTATAAATGGAAAAATCGAAAATATAAAGCCACTAGAGACTTGTGAACAGTTAAACCAGACAACGTTACGTCAATTCAGTCAATATCAGGACAGAAAAAAAACAAGATAACGTATATACAGAAATGAAAAAAAAGAAAGAGTAAAAACATATGATATTGACAACTCACCAAACCATCCAAAAACATATTGAAGGAAAAAGAAGGTTCGATAAACACTGCAAAGGAAGGTTGTAAAAACAGCTGATTAGCAGGGATAAAAGAAAACGGAACTAAACACGCATGCCAAAATATAATAATAGAAAAAACAAAAATGTATTAATTAAATTAATAAAGAAAAAAGAAAAATCTTGAAGGTGTATATAACATCAATCCACCAAAAAAACTCAGTGGATACACGCCTACTTCGCAAATAATAATAATAAAATAAGAATATACTTTGAAAAGAGACACACGAGAAAGAGATTATGTTATGAATGGAAAAATCCAAGTTATAAAACCACGAGTCTATAACACATAGGTGAATAATTAACCTCTCTGTATTTGAATGAAGCATCGGCAGGCAAACTGTTTACCTGAGTGTTAGAGACCCATGACATTATAGTTTGGATTTTTCTATTTATAACCGTTTCGTGTAATATTTACATAAATTTTCTCCAATTATTACCTCACTGGCTTGATTGATATTTTACATCCAACTTCTTTGGGCTAAAATATAGTCTGCCAGTAAGTTATTTTTGGAAAAAGGTTCAAACCAAATTTGGCTACATACAGACAGTACTCATCGAAGCCCTCTAAACATTAGATTAGCAGCAACAGTCTCAAAGATGAACGATGAATCCTTGATGTTCACGATTTCTTAAATAAAAAAATCTCAGTTTACTTATCTGTTTAATAGAAGAAATATATAAAAAACAGTGCCCTACAAAATTCTCGTAATTTTAAGGAATTAATAGACAAACATTTTTCTACATCGGGTGTATACAATATACAGCCATTATTTTATATTAGCTTACTTTTATCTTGAAAGGAATAAGTGAAAGATAACGTAACCTATTTAGTGTCAATACATAAAAAAATATATTTTTTTTATTTGAAAATTATTGAATTCTACCGCATTGGAGGGCATTAATATTAGGGCTACATTAAACATTCACACACACACAAAAAAAACAATTAAAAAAAAAATCAATCCAGGCCATTTCCAAGTTATAACATAAACTATAAAATCACTTTCAAGATTAAAGTAACACTAAACAGACTAAGAAGGAATTATTACGAAATAGTTAAACCACATTTAAAAATTAATAGATTTACAGCAAGGCCGATTCAATGAAATTTGGTAGGTAATTCGAGCACTGATTTTGACAAAAATAATTAACGATTGAAGTAATTATCTCCGATTATATATAAAAAAATAACTGATTTTAAATAAAAATTTTAAAATTTATTTTAATACATAAGGTAAAAATTCAGATGCATATCTAGTGTACATACTGTGGTTTAAATCACTTTATTTCAATTTCTAATTGTCAAAAAATTGAAAACAGGCTGCGGATTGTACCAATTTTATATAAAATAATGATTGATTTTTAGGAATTATTATTATTTTTTTTTTTTATGATTTTGTCCATCGTTGTAACTCAAATGTACATTATCCGATCTACGTCTTAGTCACTCCTGCAGCGTTTGCAGTTAATTTAGTCATAAACCATTCAGCCTTCCTTAATTCGCCTATTTTATTTTATTGGATCATAAATTTCACATCCCGCTTTCTTTTCTCTGAATTAAGTCTACTACGAACTTTACGATAAGATAAATCTCTCAGTAATAGTTCATTGGTTATGAAAAGCATAAAATATCTAAAAAAATAATTACTTTCAAACGTTTAAAGGTTTATGCTTTTTATACAGTCACTATGAATTGTTATTAGGTGAGAGATAACAGTTTTTTATATAATCCGTTTTATTGGAAGGATCATAAATTGAGAAAAGTATACTCTTTTACTATAAAATATATTCTTTTAATACGTTAAAAGTTTAAACATTAACAGAAGAAATGAAATATTATGGTTATTATTAAATAACTAGTGTTAAAATATCTACTAACCATTTTTTTTTTTGTAAAGTTTCTTTTCGATGGGTTTCCACGACTACATTAATTATAAAGAAATTATTGACATTAGTATCATGGTGTCATTATTTTTTTTTTTTGGGCGAAACATATAACCTTAAAATACAGTCGTAGTTTATTTGATTTCTAAATGAACTAATTTTATTATTTTTATAATGTACTGTTCACGTAGAGAAGTTTCCGTATTTAAGGTCAACGATAACGAGAATAAACGAAGTTGAAGAAGTTAAAGCTAGATCAAAGGTGGGAATTGCTTGCTTTTTTTCAGTTGCGAAACAACTTAACTCGCGACCGTTGCCCCGAAACCATCGAATTCACAGAACCATTATCCTTTCTACGGTTCTTTATGGAGGCGAAACGTGGTTACATTAAGGGATGAGCATCATCTTAAGGTTTTTAAAAATAAAGTATTGCGCAGAATATTCGGACCGAAGAAGGATAAGTGAACCGGAAAATTTAGGGCGCTACATACAACTCTGAATTGCGAGAACTGTACCCGGTTAATATAATTGAGATGATTAAGTTGAGGTGAATAAAATGGGCATGTAAAATCGCACTGCTTAGTAACGAATAAGAACTCCTAGAAAGTTAGTTTGCGCTGTACCGATTGATAAGCGAAAAACCCTGATCTAGCAGGGTTGGGTTCAGACGACGCCGTGGATGGAAGAATGTAGACATCGATTGGTAGTATCAGCATCGAACCTTAGGGTTCGCTAAACCTTGTTATTATTATCATTATACTGTATAGTTAAGGTTTCAATAAGAATGAACGAAATGGCACTGCGTATTAACTTCATAAAATAGAAATAAAAACCGTATATAACGTTTATATTTCGATGAGAGACGTGTCTAAGAAGTTGTATTGGTGATAGCCAAGTTGCTCAGACGTACACAGTAAGAATAACATTCAAAAGAAAGATGACTGGTGCCTATAAAGTCAAAATGAAAGAAAAAGTATATAATGATGTAGAGATGGTTGACCGTTGATATAATATGAGAAGGAGTTAATTGGGGGGGTGCTGTCAAATAAATACTAAATTAAAATATAGTATTTATTTAATTTTTGCCGACGTTTCGACCCACTTTGCAGGTCGTCTTCAGGGCTACCAAAGATACAAAATAAAATTTTCAAACTATATACCTTATTATTATCTTCATGCAGCCTACTATTCCATTATCGCTTTCAAAAAACTGAATGTCAATTGTCATTTATATATAGTATAACTTGTTTTTGTTTTTTTATCATCATAACCTTATTTTCCATTTATACTTACATTATAAAGCTCTCTTTTAAACTTATTGTTTTCTTATAGAGTTATTTATACTTAATAATCTGTCCTAACGATATTACACTAATGTTACCCTATTAATCTTTCAATTTCTTTACTTCTTAACCTTTAGTCCCGTTATCTGTTTTACCTACAATCAAATGTAACCTCCACTAGCTTGTTATCCACTAATATCTTATTATTATTTTATCTTATTCTTATTTTAACTTTACTATAACTATAGTTATTCAATTTTCAATCTATTTATTCGTTAACATTCATATTCTTTATCTGTCAACCCATAGTTATCTAATGTAATCTCTATTAGTTTGTTATACACCTATTCCTTATCTTTTATCACAATCTGTTTACTTTTAACTTACATGCTATATTATCCTTTATTTTTATTTTTACTCATACTTATTTTCAATTTGTTTGTATCTTCTACATATACAATACTTAATATTTTAACTACATTGTAACCCACTACATCTCTGATATCATCTTTATATTTCTATATCTGACAGCTTCTTCTTATTTTGTATCTATTTATATTTATTTTTTATTTTCAACATATTTTGTATCTTTTGTAGCCCTGAAGACGACCTGCAAAGTGGGTCGAAACGTCGGCAAAAATTAAATAAATACTATATTTTAATTTAGTATTTATTTGACCGCACCCTCAAATTAACTCCTTCTCACAGAAAAAGTACATAGGATCTGCTAAAAAAAAAGTAATAAAAAACGCCATTCCAAAAAAGTTAAATAATAATTACGTTGTAAATTAATAACAATAAGTGTCAGAAAATAAATAAAAAATAAAATAAATATGGCGTTATATTATTGTTTAAAAACACTTACCATTTGTGCGACACAAAAGCAGTGCCTGAAGTTGTGGAAAGGAACCTCGTTATAATTCTTGTAAACTTGGAAGAGGAAGTTGCGAAGGACCGTCATGTCAAGGGGAATGGATTCGATAAGACCAAGGTCAGTGAACATGAATTGCAAGAGGAGCAATATCTCTTCGTCTGACCAAAGCATCGAGTCAAAGGATGACAGTCTCAGGCATTGTCGAACCTCTTCCGAGATGTGCTGCTCGCTGGAAAAAAAGAAAGAAAGTATATTTTACAACATTATTATTTAATGATAGAGAATAATTATCTAATAGAACTATCTACAAGAATTATCTAAAGGATTAGTAATAATAGCACAGTGGAGATGAGCTCGCATTGGTTTCCAAACCAGTGACCCACTTGAAAGAAAAGCCATAAGATCGCCTGCAGCCAATGCAGCCATACCTTTCTCCTACAAGCTTGGTTTATAGTTTCCTGATAATGTATTTTATTGATAGTAGTTGCATGCGTAATCTCAGCGCAATTCCCTGGCACTATATAACTCCCCTCCTCCCTCTCGAATAAACGAAAGGTCGGATGAGAAAAAAAAAAAAGTACGCAGTTCCCAAGCTTAATAGCGGAAAATAGTAAAAGAAACGTCAAAGGAAAGAATGAAGGCGTCAAGACTTGAAGATGAGTTAAAAATAGCAAAAGTAAAGGATTTAATGGATCAGAGGAATGCCAAATTTTACCAATAGAGATAAAACTTTTTATATCACCTAAAGAATGGCAAAAGAGTAGTTTAAGCCCATCTTAAAAAAAAAAATGGGAGAATCATCCCATCGCCTAATTAGAAGTTAGAAATAATGAAATATCAGAAACTATTGTAAAAATATAAACCTCCTTAAAATACCAAAATTAAAAAAAAAAAAAATGATAACTTTTGAAACTTTAAAACTACCCAAAAAAAAAAAAAGACAAAGCAAGAAAAAAAAATTAAAAAGCTTAGTTAAAAAAAAAAATCTATATTCTATATAAATAATTTTGTAAAGATATAACTATATAGTGATTTAAATTTATAACTGTAGTTTTATAAATATATACATAAATATAGAAAAGTAAAAATAGATATAAATGTATATATTGTAATTGTAAGATAAAATCGCTGGAGGGTGAGGAAAAAAATGTATAAATATTTAAATTTATTATGTAATTTTCTATGTAGGATTTACTGACAGTAATTCTTTTGCCTGCGTTAACAATCCTTCTTCACTTTGCCTATCTTCACTATTTCTTTCTAGTTATTTATTTTCGTACAGTTCTACATCTTGGTTGATTCGATTTGTCCATCTGGTTTTTACTTCTATGTAATCTCTTGCCTACTATAGAGGCATTCATTGATATATAGAGACTCCTGCTGGATTTTTTCAGCCCATTTTTATACGTTTATTTTTCATTTTTCTTATAAATATAACTTGTTATTATTTTTTCGTTTTCACTTCATATATTAACCATACATGTCATAATAGTGACGGTAGAATAAGATTTTAATTCTTATCTACTTTTTATTTATTCATATCATTTACTTAATATATTTTCGCGATTTATTAATTTATATTGTTTAATTTATTTATATTGTAGGAATTAATTCCTTTAGCACTATTAATATATGTCAATAAAAGCAGTTTATCTTGCTAATACATATATAATATTTTTATATGCATAGTACATCATTATCCTTTATGATTTTAGCTTAAGAACATTAAAAAACAAAAAATGAATTATAAACGCTTTTATATATATATATATATATATATATATATATATATATATATATATATATCACTACTGGTAGTGCAAAAGGTCGTATATAACAATTTTCTATGTTCATGTAAAATATTTATAATACGAAATTATACTAATAAATCATAAAGCAATAATTAGTTTTTAACCTCTTTTGTAAAAAAAAAAAAAATCAATTTTTACATACGACTTTTTGCACTAACAGTAGTGATATCTTACGTCAAGGAAAAAAAGAGGCACAACCTAAAATTTTTAACATTACAAAATTTAATAGTAGCACCTCAGTTATCCTTAAGTACATATCTGACCATAACAATAAACAAAATAAGGAATTTATTCATCAGAAATGTTTGTTAAGGTAATAATTTAAGGGCTTCTTTGTGCATCCCACTAGCGGATCCAGGATTTCATTTTGGGGGGGGGGGGGCTTCAGCCCGAAACCTTTTTTTTCATAAAAATAACGATAATTACTTTGGAAAAACAGAAAGAAACTAATTACCTATATGAAATGGTGTTTAAGTTATTCCTTAAGTAGTTTTAAATGTAATTACACGAAAAATAATACTTTAAGAGGTATTTTTAAATTTTGTTTCCCATAAAACATGGTTATATTTTTCCATTTTGGGGGGAGCTTCAGCCCGAAAGCCCCCCCCCCCCCGTAGATCCGCCCGTGGTGCATCCTAACACAACTCAAAACAGTTCTAACAGATAAAAAAAAAAATGAATTGCGCCCTTCTCTCCCCACTTATAGAATAAAGAATCTTCTACAATTTAACTTACCGAAATTATGACCATATAGGGTAAACAAGACACAACAGATCCCGTCTTGACAAGTTGTTTTTTAAAATAACAAAACCGAGCTTGAGCAGACGCTAGGTGCCTAACATAAAGGATATGAATACAGTGGTTGGGATATTATCTCCTTAGAGCACTATAATATAGAAAATCAATCAGTTTACGCAATTTAAAGCAATAACAAATAATTAATGGCGGAGGAACGGTTGAGTATAGATACTTTTTGTAGAAAATGATAGCGGTTTACAGTCAGATAAATACAAATAGTTATTTATTTTTTCAATTCATGGACTAAAACCCCAAACCAACATCTACTGAAAAAATAATTAATTTTGTAAGACAAAAATAAGCATAAGCATTCAATGAATTAGAGGCTATTTGTTAAAATTTTAATTAAAATTGAACACAACAAAAATAAAATTTCAGGAAACTTCAAAGATAAGATTTCCTAAAAAATATATATAATTTGTTTAAGTTTATTGATCAACTTATAATAATAAATAGGTCAAGCTGTTCTATGGATTCGATAACTATAACAGTGAAATATCAATTTTCAAAATTACAAGCAAAAATATATCAGTACATGATTTTTGTATATAAGTGCAATCCTTAGCGTAATTGACAAGCTGGAAAAGAGTGCTCACCACTTGTTATAAATAAAAATAATTACAAAGTGTAAGAGAATAAACAATTTTAGCCTATTAACAAAGCAACTAAATTAGAGACATATTGAATGAAGTAAAATTGAAATATTACTTCACAAAAAAAAAAAAACAGTTTAAGAAATAAATTAAATTATATTTGGGCAGAGATGAAATCATCGAAAGCGACAATTATCTAACGGCGGTACTGCTAAAGTGACTATAAACTACACTATTATCTAAGAGAAAAGGTAAATTAGGAGGATTTATTCTAGGCTGCTTTTCGGGAAAAATCCAACCATTTTCAGTAATTTCGGATTTCGTCTAAATATATATTATAGGAGTAAATATATATTAGTAAAAATAAAATCTGTGCCCCAGAAGTAAAAGACACCATGCCCATTTTTTTAATTGAATTATTTAGTAAGTAAGAAACAAATTTTAACAGCACAAAGTTATGGATAATTGGCTCTCTGAACAAGCGTAAAAATGAGACAGGGTGTACTTAAAGTTCGGAGTAAATATTTAGTAACCGAGAAATAAATTATAATAGCTGAAAATTATGGAGCATTGCCTCCTCTGAACAAACACAAAAATGGACATGATGTGCTTTACTTCCGGGTTACAGAAATAAACCTGCAGCTCTACAACCCATGAATGGTCTTTGTCCCACTAAGTTGGAAAGACCTGTTTTTGATCAACATGCAAGGTGATTTAATCAAAATCATGTACAATCGCCAGGAATTACCCTTTACTTTATTATTTAATATAAGAGTTCTCACATTATAGAGGCTGGGTGTGCCTCAGGAGGGTCTTTCGACCCCAGAGTAGATCCTCGGTTAATGTAGTAGAATAAATAATTATCTGTCACAGGCAGATTTGGAACATTGTTTTAGAGTGTTTTACCCACAGGGGTAATCCCCCTCTACTCAATGATTTATAAACTATTAGTGAATATGCGAAATATATCATTTGAACTTATTGTAATTTAAATTTAGAAATATAAATTAAACGCTCATATTGATTCTTTTTTGTTGTTTTAATTAAATAAAACAATGACTAAATTTTTTTTTTTAAACACTGGTAAGTTATTGATTTTATCCTGAATAGTAACTATATAAAATATTGACATTCGGTATTGACATAAGCTTTGGTGGTACATTTTACGGCTAAATTAACTAGCTCACTGAATTAAATAAATCATTTTAGATAAATTTAACATTTAAACGAAAATATTTAAAGTAAACATCATTCAAAAGTGGTACGGAGATTGTTGATCGTGGATTAGTTTCAGAAGAAGTCAGTCGGGAGTGCGGTCAAATAATAATAATAATAATAATAAGGCTTAGCGAACCCGAAGGTTCGATGCCGACACCACCAATCGCTTGTTACACATCTCCCTCCACCGTTCGCCGTCCAAACCCAGTCCCTTCAGATTGGCTTTAATGCAATCTTCCCACCTTCGCTTCGGTCTACCCCTTGGACGCTTACCATTCGGCACAGCAAATATTAACTTTTTAGGAATTCTCTCGTTACTAAGCCCAACAACTTTACAAGCCCATTTGATTCGCCGCGATGAAATTACCTCAATTATATTACCCGGATACAGCTCACGCAATTCGGCGTTGTGTAACCGTCTGAACTCTCCGGTTAACTCATCCTTCTTCGGTCCGAATATTCTACGCAATACTTTATTTTCAAAAACCTTAAGACGCTGCTCATCCCTTAATGTAAGCGGCCAAGTTTCGCATCCATAAAGAACTGTAGGCAAGATAATTGTTTTATAGATTCTAATTTTTAAGTTTCGGGACAAGAGGCGCGAACTGAGTAGTTTTGTCACAGAAAAATAACAAGCATTCCCCGCCTTCAGTCTAACCTTAATCTCTTCTTCAATTTCGTTTTTTTTAGTTATCATAGAACCTAGATACCTAAATTTATCTACCTGTTCAAACATATTACCATCTATATCGATATCACCAGTAGTATCGCCATTTTTGCAGCTAACCATATATTTTGTTTTATCCATGTTTATTTCGAGTCCTAGTTCTTTACCGGCTTTCATTAACGTTGTCGTATTTAGTTTTATAGTTTCAACGTCTTCGCTTAACAGTACCAGATCATCAGCATAGCCCAGCACGGATGTTGTTCCGCCCAGATCCAACCCTTTCTCGGTTCGCATTACCTCCCTAATGGCATGTTCTAATGCCAAATTGAACAGGACAGG